TTGTCAATTGCATAAGAAGCTGCCTGAGCGTGGTGTATGTGGGTTGGGGGCCAAGATGTGGGGGGTGGATCCTACCCCCTAATGGCAGGCACCATGGACTAGAAGAGATGAAGAATCGCATCCGTGGCTGCAGCACGGAGGTTTTCTCAGTACAGATGCCCTGATTTACATCCAGTTTTCCAGGTTTTGACAGGCGGGGGAAGCAACAAAGAGCGGCAGGAAATTTTGGTTCAAATCCCAGCGCCTTCGCGCATGCATTCATTTAGCTGCCCGTTCACATGATGGAGCGCCCAGAGCAAGAGATGGTACTGACTCAAGCAGGATGATGAACTCCCCCTGCCCCCACCCCTTGCCATTTTCTTCTCCAACGGCCATGGGACCCCCCCTCCCCCCTCCTCGCTTGGACTCCAAGTGGGTATCTTGCACTTCTGTATTTCTTGGGCACACTGATCTCAGTCTTTGGAATCTCCGTGGTCACATTTTGGCCTGACCTCCCCACCACAAGATTATTCTGAGAAGAAACAAGTGGTACCTGCAACAAAATGTTGCAGCGCATCTTCACCAGGCAAGAACGCTCCTCTTTGCGGTGTCAGTTCACCAACCGGGCCTTCCTCCAGAGTGCTCTTTCTACTCCGGCCCCTTTTGCATTCTTCTTTTCCGGCTGACATTCAGCTGGAAGGGTATGCCCAGTCCCTGTTGGGAACATGGAGCATCTGCCCGGCAGGGTCCGACTTCAGCTTCACCACCTTTGGAGCGCATCCTGTGAGTCTGATGGAAGAATCCCATTCCCCAGGCATTTGGAGGAGACACAGCCGAGCCGGCTTCCCCATCAGTGCATTCCCAGCTACCGGCAATCCCTTTCGGAAGAGTGGCGGATGATGCATCCCGGGGGGACCAGAACATGCTGTTGTCATAGGAACTTTGGCAGGCTGAGCGGCAGGATGCCTCAAAGGACTGCGGCTCCATCCCTTGACCTGTCGGCAGCTGACTGCACGCGAGCTGTGGCAACGCGGTGCGCGAGAGGGGACAAGCCAGCTCATGGCTGCCGTTTGCCAGCGGAGGTTTGCATCCCGGGAAACAGGTACTGCTGCAGGTAATGGCACCCACCTGGACATCTGGCATGGCTCCACAGTGCCCCTTAGCGTGCCTCTGGTGTCAGGAGAGGCCCGTCTCACCTTCTTGTTCTCCGAAATTCCCTGGGCCGTCTTGACTTTCCTTTCAGCGCCAGGCAAAGACACCACCTTTGTGGGCATTTTTTTAACACTTAGCCTGGATGCTGCGGCCCCTTTTATATTGCTTTTATAGATATTTTTAATTTGTTGTGTTTTAATTTGTTTCAACGTGTTTTATTCTGTTAATATGTTTTATGCATTGTAAGCTGCCTAGGAAGGCCTTGGCAGTTACAGGTGGCCTATAAATACACGCCTAAATATATAATAAATAAATAAATAGAATGCATCCCAAGCTTAAGCGCTCAGTTTTGAGGTAGGCCAGGCTGAAAGCATGACTGGTCCAAAGCCAGCCAGTGAGCTCCATGACTGAGTGGGGAATCAAACCTGCATCTCCTGGGTCCCCAATCCTGCACTCTTAACCACTAGACCGTACTGCCTTGCTGGGAGAAAAGACAGTCATCTGCCCCATCCTGCATCCCTAGACAAAAAGGACATTTGGTTCCATCACCTTCTTTTCCCAGTTAAAGGGGAATGTACTGAATGGGCAAGAAGAATCCGGACAGCTATACTAATGACAGATCTTTCTGGTAAGGAACATCTAAAATATAACTGAATAGTGATCAGGGTTAAGACTGAGCTGCATTATTCATCACAAGTGCTAAATCATGCAGTGTGGAGAGAAAGGGAGAGAATGGAAGTCAGCTGACTTTGGTTGTCGTGAATATTTGTTCTAGCTGGGGGTGAGAAGGGTGGGCACTCAGCTCTCAAAATACCAGTGGGGGATTGAATGATGGCTGCATAGTCTTTGGGTAATCAACACATCTCTCACTGAGCAACCTCGGGAAAAAACAGCTGCCCATGCTCGTTTATGTCATCCATTCGTGGTTTATTTAATATATTTCCTGCCTCCTATTTTTTAGCATAAACCCTTCACAAGGTGACTTACAGCAAAAACGTTGCAGGCAAAACGATCCTGCAAGCATAACGAAAATGCTGCCCAGTTAGCTCGGTTGCTTAAACTGGACAGTCAGACATGGATGCCAAGAGCTGGATTTCCATGGAATAAGCCCCCTGCCGCGGAATCGCTCTGGCTCTGCAAAGTGGCCAAATAAAAATACGGCCACTTTGGAATAAAAAATCAGTGCTGGCATTTTGTGACAAAGTTACCAAGAATGTAACACGGGGTGCAGTCCTGGGGCCTCTCGACATCATTGGCGGGGCCACAGGATTTTTGGGGGTGCCCGCTCCAAGGTCCTGTGGCACGGGCCCTGTTCCCTTGTGGTGGCACAGAGAGAATGGCACAGGATCCGCAACGCCAAAGCCCTGTTTGGGCCCACTTGCCCACGCGGTGCACACCTCTGTGTGAAAACCATCCTCTGGTGCACCATCGGCAAGAACTTGTTCTCTGGGGAGCAAGAACAACGCGTGGCTTGTCAGCTGGCCAGGGATCCTTCCTCTTCCCCCAGGGACCTGAAGGCCGGATTCGAGGCTGCACTGACTCCGTTGTTACGTCCCATTCTTTGTTGCATCCCGGAGGGAAGGGAACCCTGCTTGTTTTCCAGAGAATCTTTGCTGCCATCCATTGGCAGAACCCCTCTATGGCAGAAATCCCCCAAACAGGATTCCCAACACTTTGGTCTTACTTGCTACTTCCTCTATATCTGAAGCTCTGAGATGGGAAGTTTGGGGCCATTTGCCCGGCCTCCGGTCTCCCCTTTGGCTCACATTAGGAGAGCGCGTGTGTGTGAAAGAGTCACGTTTGACAGCAAGCTCCGTTTGACCCATGTGGGTCCCATGTGGTTTCCTTGTCAAATAAATGCAGCAGTCCTCTTGGGGCTCTTTGGGGGCAGCAATGAGGCAGAAACGCATCCTGTAGCTTGCTAATTATTCCAGGCCATGGTAGGAAGTGTTAACCTGCCCCGTGGCCCTTGGCAGCTTTGCTGCAGCACGACAGACGAGGCTTTAAGTGAGACTGAATGGGGGGGGGGGGGCCGACACACAGTTTGACTGTGGAACTCGCTTCCACCAGGTGTGGCAGCGGCCGCAAGTTTGGATGGCTTTAAAGGGCAATTGGACAAAGGCCTGGGTGAAAGACTATAGTGGCGACTAGTCCAATGGCCCACCGGCAGGGTCAGAGTGGTGTGCCAATGTACACCATTGCTGGGGAACATGGGTGGGGAGTACTGTTGCACTTCCATCCTGGTTGAGGGTTCCCGGGGGAGCTGGCTTGACTGCGTGGACAGCGAAGGTGCCATGGAAAGTGGTGGGCAGCTGGGGCCCTTGGGAGGTTTCAGCCTGCTGCTCTCATCAGCTGGGATCCTGGGCAAAGCCAGTGTCCCACGAGCTACATGCGGGGAGGGACCCCCAGCGTGGCTAGAGAGGACGAGCTGAGGAGATGGAGAAAGGCAGGGAAGGGCTGCTGAAACGGGAGCCGCTTCTCCAGTTGACCTCGCCTCAGAGGGCTGCAGTGGGGCTTTCCCGGGCCGATGGTCCATGCAACATGTAGAAAATGCATGCCTAGGTAATTATTATTATTATTGCGTTTTTATACCACCCCATAGCTTATTGAGCTCTCTGGGTGGTGTATAAATTCAGTTACAGAATACACACAAGCAAACAATACACTATAATAACAATAGGTAATGCAGCAGTACAAAATGATCTTCCGGTGCCAGGAGAAGTGCCTCAAATGCACCAAGTTTTGGCCCTGAAGGTGGAGCCACAGGTGCTTGGGCAAGGTGAGCAAAGGGAGCTTTGGGTGCTTCTATCTAGGACTGCAGCCAAGAAAGTAAAAGACGCTTGCTCCTGGGGAGGAAAGCTATGGCAAATCTAGACAGCATACTAAAAAGCAGAGACATCACCCTGCCAACAAAAGTGCGTATAGTCAAGGCTATGGTTTTCCCAGTTGCAGTGTATGGCTGTGAAAGCTGGACCATAAGGAAGGCTGAGCGCCAGAGAATTGAGGCCTTTGAATTGTAGTGCTGGAGGAGACTCCTGCGAGTCCCTTGGACCACAAGGCGATCAAACTGGTCAGTCCTGGAGGAGATCAACCCTGACTGCTCTTTAGAAGGCCAGATCCTGAAGATGGAACTCAAATACTTTGGCCACCTAATGAGAAGGAAGGACTCCCTGGAGAAGCCCCTGATGCTGGGAACGACTGAGGCCAAAAGAAGGAGGGGATGGCAGAGGATGAGGTGGATGGATGGAGTCACGGAAGCAGACGGCGTGAGCTTAGGTGGACTCCAGGGGATGGTGGAGGACAGGAAGGCCTGGAGGAATGTTGTCCGTGGGGTCGTGATGGGTCAGACACGACTTCGCAACTAAAAACAACAACAAATCTAGCCTGGGTGTAACTCCCATTTAACTCAATGGGATTGCTGCAGAATATACGTTAAACACCGTTTGCTGCCGTGCTGCCCACAGCCACAGCACAGGAAAGAAAAGGAAAAGGGCAAGACTGGAGCTTTGTTATTATCGCTCATGTGGTCATTGTTTTATTTCTAGCAAACTGTAGCAAAATCTCTCTTTGGCTCAGCGGCTGCTACTGAGCATGCCCAGAATAAGAGACGGGCAAAGAATAGGGCAGGACTGGAGCTTCAGGGGCTGCTACTGAGCATGCGTACAAGCAGACGCCCCCGCCTCCCAGGCGGTGCTAGTGAACATTTTAGGGATGGATCGAATGCACGGCGTGGGCCAAGCCGCTGCTTCAAATGCTGCTACTGCGCATGTTCCATAACGAAACTTGCCCTGCCTATGGCTTCAGTTGCTGCTACTGAGCATGTGCGTGACAAACGGCGCATGCTCAGTTGGATGTTGGGAGGAGGAAGAGGCTTGCGTGTCAGTCGCCTTTGGAGGAGCCGCCGCTGAGGAAGGCCGGAGGGTGAGCGGAGGATTAAAGACCTCAAACCTCTGTGAAGCTTGGGGGGTGGTCGCGAGAAAGCGGGAGCTACTCGGGCAGGCAGTCTGCGGTCTTAGCGGCTGTATTGCGGATAGAAGTTCGACAGGTGCAGAGAACAGTCCCCCAAAGGGGATTACCTAATCGGTTGGATTTCTGCCTGTCGCGAGCTGTCAGAGCCACCAGTTTTGTCGGGCGCCAGGCATGGGCAATGCTTGCGTTGCCTTCCAGATGCTTATTCCATTTTCACGCTGTCCCCAGAGTGTTTTAAAGCCCCCCCCCCCGTTTTAAGCTCTAAAAAAATACAATATGCAAGGACAAAGAATGGGGAATGGTTTTGGGCTTCAGCTTCCATCAGCCATTGTTCAGCAGCAGAGTTTGCAACCCAGCAATATATGTTTGGCTGTGAAAAGTAGGGGTTTTTCTGGTGGGGTGGCATTGTGTATGCGTCAGGGAAACAAAAATATTTTGAGGCTGGGAAGCGGGGGGCTGCAGCATTACCTGTTGCATGTCTGCCTGTTGTGCAGCTTTTTAAGGCATAGGTCAGGATGCACTCGTGGAGGTAGTTTTAAGGCAAGGAGTGCTGTCGGGTCTGGGGACCGTGTGCACTGTGGAGTCCTTACTTGAAGATTTCTCTCCCTTCCAGCAGGAAAGAGCGATCTTGTTGTGTCCTGCAGAGAAAGACTGCTGTGCGAAGGCTGTTCAGCGAAGAGGTGCCGGAAGCAGCCTTTCTGATTCCGTTCTCAACCATCCCCGTGTTTCTTTGACAGAGCCCCTGGGGAATGCAAGCACCAAGTGCCGATGAAGCTGCCCACAAAGAGCGGGTGCAGGAGGCCATCCGGAAGGGTCTCTTGGCTGCCGACCTGAAGTGCAGCTTCTTTGTCTCCGCTCTGCAGAGCTACAAGCGGGATTCGGTCCTCCGGCCCTTCCCGGGACTTTATGCCACTGAGGAGAACAAGGATTTTGAGGCATTGGTGAGTGGGCATCTCTTTGTGACCCAAAGCGGGGCCCGGTTTTCGCTTGCCCGCTCCAAGTGCGAGTCTTGCTACAGCCCGCAGTCGGTCCCACAATCCTTGGGCGCAGCGCTGAAACTTGCCTTGGTTCTGTGGCTTTCGGGGTGCAATTCTGAGAGCGTAAGGACACAAAAACTGTTGCACCAGGCCGGGGCCCCATCCAGGCCAGTGCCCTGCTCACACAGTGGCCAACTAGCTGCCCACAGGCTCCCGCAAGCAGGAGAGGAGGACAGGACTGTGTGAGCCGTACCAAAATGTGTACAAGGGGAATGCCATCTTGGCAGTTTCCTTTCCAAATTAAGCCTAACATGGAGTTTGCCTTTCCCACAGCAGCCACACGCTGGGTTGATGCTTCCCCTGAGCTGCCCGCCACAACCCCAGGACCCCTTTCTTGGAACATGTTCACCTATTTAACTTGCTTTTTATCAGCTCACACTCATTTTAGACAATCCTCCTCTTTTGTGAGTGTGCTGGACGTCTTTAGGACTCTTCCACCCAAGTGTTTATTAAACCTAATAATCCCGTGGTTCAACAATATTTACATCAGGTCTTGGGCGACTCTGCCTAGGAGTAAATGCAGCATTGCCTCCTCTCTGCTTGGCTCCCTGAGCCAGGCCAGGCGTTTAGGACAGTGGGAAGCTTAATCTCTTTGTCAGAACTGGAACAGACATTTCTCTAGTCACTGGTTATTACAGGACTGCCCCTCTTGGCAGCCTCCATGCTTTGATTCCCCATCTCAGGATCAACCCGAGCATTCTGGTCTGGAAAAGGAGAGCATATTCCTAGGACTAAATTAGTTTGGAGCCAGGCATTGACACCCACAGAGCTTTTAGGCATGTTTAGACAAAAAGGGTCATACAGCTTTATGGCTGAGGTTTACCGAGAATTCTAGGTCTTTATGTCCATACTTGCAGTGTTGTTGTTGGATGTGTGTGTTTTTAAACCTTTAATCGCTATAGGCTTTGCGAACTTGCCACAGGGGACAAGGTGAGTGGCAGCTTGCAAGTCAGACTTACTCAGTGCTGGACGGTTGCGGGACTCGGCTTTCTGCATAAGAACATTCCCTTGTGTCGGCTTTCTCTGCTTGCCCCCGCTGCTTGCCAGCTTCCACGCTGCCTTTCCTACTCTGGAAGTTTAAAGTTGGGGTGTGGGTTTCGCTAGATGCCGGGACTGACTGTCCCTAACTCTTGCCAGGGGGCGGCACTGCACTCCCTCCGGTGAGGTTTCCTGGGGCAGGCGCTGAGCATTCAGCCCGGCCTCCGAGTCCAACTTGGTGCTTATCTGTTTTAGGAAGCTTTGGACAAATACACCAGCTGCATAGGGGGACGTGTCCTTTTCTGCCAAGCACTGCATTGCTGTTGCAGAAAAGCCAGCGTTGCAGTGGTGGCTGTAAAATTCTTCTCTCTGGGAGGACAGCCTGCCGAGGAGAGTTGTTGCCTCTGTTTTCCCAGGACGGGAGGTGACCTTTGTCAGGATATAATCGATGATGACAAGGAACAAGTTATGTAGTGACTAATTTCACACACTCCAAGGATATAGAAGACGGCCTCATCAACCCCAACACAAAAGAGACACGCAGATTAGGGTATCTCATTTTGAATGAGCGGCATTCTATGTAACCGGAGTGTTAAGTTTATAATCCATATGATTTGGGGAGGGAAAAGGGGACAAAATCTAGAAATGGGGGGTAGGGGGAATTATATGGTGGCAAAGCGAATCTAATATTTTCTATTCTGTGACTGAAATGTGTGAATGTTCAAACCTCTTGTGGCTTGTTCAGTAGGTAAATATGATTTTTAAGGGGGGGGATCACTCACCTCTTTGTGAATAAAAGAGCAGGTGCCGATTCCTGCCCATCCTGCCTGTGCCCCTTCTGCAAACAGCTTGGCATGATACGATGGTGCAGGTGCCCCTCTGGAAGGGTCTGAAAGGAGCCCCGTTGTGCTTGAGAACAGACTGGTCCTCACAGTCTGGAGCCATTTCTAGCGTCCGAGAGTCATTGTGGCGTAGCTGTTACAGGGCTGGACTGGGACCCAGGAGGCCTCGTTTCGTCCCCAGTTGACCACGAAGCTTCCCGGGTGACTTTGGGCATGTCACTCCCTCTCAGCATCACCTGCCCCACACGGCGCTGGCTGTGAGGACGAAATGCAGGCGGGGAGATGGACTGTGTCGGATAGCTTGGGTTCCTTGCAGGAAAAATGGCAGCGTCCAAACGCAATCACTGTCATCATGGGGCTCCCACAACGCCATCTGCAGTGACTAGGAAAATGATGTCACTGGAGGCTGAAAGAATGATTAGTCAACAGTCTTTTGCCATAGAGCTCCAGTAGCTGGTCCCAGAAAGCCTAATGTGATGTCCTGCTGGGTACTTAGAAGGGAGGACTGAAAAAACAAAGGCCTCGACAGCATCATGGCAGTGAGGCTGGGAAAGACCCCCGCGCAAGCCCGGAGACCACCCGCTCGTCTACATAGGAGTGGTGGCTGGATGGAGGGCATGCAGTGGATGTGGTTTACCTGGATTTCAGCAAGGCCTTTGACAAAGTGCCCCATGATATCCTGGTGGAGAAACTGAGGAGTTTTGGGATACACCAAAGCACTGTCCGGTGGATTAGGGCATGGCTGACTGACCGAAAGCAGAGGATAACCATTAGTGGGGAATCATGGGGATGGCAGCCAGTGACAAGTGGGGTCCCCCAGGGCTCTGTCCTGGGGCCGATCCTGTTTAATCTCTTCATCAATGACATGGAAGAAAGGGTGAACAGTCTGCTGATCAAATTCGCAGACGACACTAAAACTGGAGCAGTGGCCACAACTGAGGAGCAGGTACTCCAGATCCAAAAGGATCTGGACAGACTATGGAAGTGGGCAGGAGACAACAGGATGGCGTTCAATGTGGATAAGTGCAAGGTCTTGCACTTGGGGCACAGGAATGGGGTGTCATAAGTGCAGGTTAGTGGACAAGTGGCTGGAGAGCAGCACTTGTGAAAGGGACCTCGGGGTGCTGGTTGACTGCAGGCTGAACATGAGTCAGACGTGTGATGCGGTGGCCAAGAGGGCGAACGCCACCCTTGACTGCATAGCCAGAAGTGTGGCTTCTAGATCAAGAGGGATTACTGCCACTCTACACAACTCTGGTGCGCCCATAACTGGAGTATTGTGCTCAGTTTTGGGCCCCTCGTTACAGAAAGGATATAGCCAGGTTGGAGTCAGTGCAGCGTAGGGCCACAGGGTTGGTGGCCGGTTTGCAGGGGATGCCGTACGAGGCGGGACTGAGGGAACTGGGCCTCTTCAGCCTGGAGAAGAGGAGACTCAGAGGGATCTGTTGGCGACATGCAGGTATGTGAGGGGGTGTCACACGGAGGTGGGTAGAGACCTGTTCTCCCCTGCAGAGGAAGGCAGGACGTGCTCCAAGGGAGCAAAGCTCAGGGAGCCAAGGTTCAATTTGGATGCCAGGAAGCACTTCCTGACAGTCAGGACCCCGAGGGTGTGGAGTGGGCTTCCACGAGAGGTCGTTGAGGCCCCATCGGTGCGGGTGTTCAAGGACAGGCTGGACGTGCACATGGTGGGCGTGTCGTGAGCAGAGCTGGCTGGAGCCGGGGATCAGACTAGATGGCCCAGAAGGCCCCTTCTGACTCGCTCTGTTTCTCTGTTTCTGTGTGTACTGCAGGCCTCGCAGGGTTGTGCAGGCCAGCCTCTCCCAACCTCGTGCCCTCCAGACATGCCGGATTGCGACTCCCAGCATTCCCAGCCAGCCATGCTGAGGAGAGTTAGTCCCAGACCTCTGGGGACCACAAGGCTCAAGGAGGCAGGTGCAGACAACCCTGTGCTGGAGGGACCAGCGGCCTGGCTGAGCGGGAGGCAGCTTCCAGTGTTGCCAAAGCGTTTGGCCTGCCTGGGGCTGTCTCAATTCACAATGCTTCCACGTTTTCCCAGGTTCCCCATCCCATCCAGCATCCCTTTGCACCCTCAGCCATACTGCCTCGAGGGCACCGGGTACCGATTCCCAGGCTGGTGTGCTGTGGATGAGTGGCACTAGCCCCAGCCCCAGGCCAGGGTCCTGCTGCTGGGCTGGGCCCGCCCGCGCAGGGGCAGCTACAGGACAGGATTGCCAGAGACGCGGCTTCTCTTCTTTTTCTTCCCTTTGACCATCAGGGGGCCTCTTAGCTCTGCAAGATGCTCAGGAAAAGCCAGAAACGCCCCCTAAGCATGTTTCTCTCTCAGCTTGCAGACACAAATGCGCTTGGCAGCCTGGAGGAACTCCTTGCCTCGGGCCAAGACGTGGACCAAAGGGCCTGGGAGCTGCTGGCCTGGGTTTTATCTTCCAAGGTCTTGTGCATACAGAGTAGCAGCAAGCAAGAGGTGAGCACCCCTGCGGCGGATGGGATCCAGCAGATGTGGATGGCTCAGAGCGGTCCTGGGGTGGGGAGCGCTCTCTGGGCTGCCCTAGAGGACCCATGGGGCAGAGCAAGCCAGGATCTTAAAGCAGTTTCGAGTAACCAGATTCAGGAAGAGAACCACCCAGTCAAAGTCAGGGGTTTTGAGTTTGTATTTTTGAAGCCTTAAGAAAAGATGTTTGTCCTACAAGTGAGCCAGAAGCCTAGCAACAAGCTGCTAATGCAGTGCCAAAACCACAGGATTTGACCAAACATTGGGACGGGTTGGGTGCGGATCTGAGTAGACCTATTGCAATCAATTAGTCATGTTAGTTGACGAACCTAGGTTCCACTGATTTTTATCTGTCTGCTCTAATCATGATCTGTCCCAAGATAGATGTACCCACAAAAGCCAAATGGGCAGCTGTGATCGAAATGACCCGCAGAAAAACCCCAACGTGGGAGTCAGGCAAAGTGGCCCTGCTCACTTGGAGAGTCCCAAATGCCCTCTGGAAAAATGCAGCCTTCCCTTGTCCAAAAGACGAGGAGGAGAACAGCTGGCCCACGGCAGAGCGTTCAAGCGCTGTCCTCTTGATTTCAAGTCCCACGCAGTTCGGGTGGATTTGCTTTATGCTCTTCCGCAGAAGTCAGTGGCATTTCCAAGCACTTGGCTGTGGCGTGCGATTCGTTGTTTCAAGATGGTATTTCAGGAAGGGCGTTTTGAACAGGCAGGCTGTAAAGGGCTTCTCTCTGGAGGTCCTCATAAGGGCAAATGGCATCTTGGGTTAATCGGTATTCCCCAAGGTGCGTCTGGGCAAACAGCAGGGTGCTGCCGGGTGCTTCAGGCGGATGTTGGGACGCCCATGTGGGCAGGCCGTGTATTCAGGTCCTTTAGCTTTCTGCCCTCCCTTTTGGTCAAATAATCACCAGGGCACCTCGTAGAGGATCTGAAGAGTGCCTTTACCTCGGGGCAGCCAAAAGAGGTGCTCAAGGGGGAAGTTTGTGCTGTTAGCATAGCCTTTTCCAACCTGGTGTCCTCCAGGAGGGTTGGGCTACAACTCGCAGCCTCCCCCATGGCTTGCTGGGATTTGTAGTCCATCAGATTAGGCTGCATTAAAGTACAGTGATTGGCTTTCTTTGTCCAGAGGTCATTTGGCATCACGAGGTTCTTTTTAGGGCTTGGGGCAGACAAGAGCAGTTTCCACGGTGTTGGCATGATTTGTAAAGGGTATTGTTAGCAAACGCATTTATGCGCTGGTTTTCAACCTCATAGGCTTGCAAAGCTGCGCACAGATAGCAGTGCTAGTTCTCAGGCCTGCCATCTAAAAAGGTGTGATATAAAAGGGAAAAGCAAACGCAGCGTGCCCTGAGTACGTGCCGCCCCAGGGCCTTGAACCCGACACATTCCCCTCCAGCGCTCCCTAGCCCGACCCCTGTGGAAATGCTCTGTGCTCTGAAGCCACTAACCTCGCCATCTCTTAATGGCATTGAAGTATAAGAAGATAGAAGAGCTCACGGGAGCGCCCAGCGTCCCAGTGCCTGCGCCCGACTTCCTCTTTGAAGTCACCTATTGCAACCAAATGAACGCCAAGTTCGAGGAGACCAGGGCGGGGAGAGGCCTCATCTATGCCTTCCACGGGAGCCACCTGGAGAACTTCCACTCCATCGTGCACAACGGGCTGCATTGCCACTTAAACCGGGTAAGGCTGCGCCTCGCTTGTCCCGGGGCAGGAGGAGCGCCGGCGGGCGCTCTGTGTGTCCCCTGCTTCCCCCGCGGCTGGCAATTCAAAGGGCTGCTGGGAATTGTGAAGGGTGGCCCCTGGCAGGCGGCATCCTGCTTCCCCATGCTGGCGCTCTCCGGACCACAACTCCCCGGAGGTAGCTGCGAGAAGGCGCGCAACCCGCTCTGAGAGCCCCCAGCTGGGGAGGGCGGCCGCGTCCTCCCTTCTTGGACGAGCCCCTTTTGAAGCCCTCTGAGCGGCTGGGGGTGCTGCCCCTTCGTGCCTGTCGTGAGCCTCCTGCCAGTCAGCGCCGCTGCAGAAGGCTGGCTTCTAGTCTTACAGGCGTGGGAGACAGGCTTCCCCCAGCCATCTCTGCCGGGGATCATTTCCAGTATACTGCTTGTGTGTCATTTGTCCTAAGCACTCCCCCCCCACCCCAAAAAAACCCCATTGCTCTTGCAATGTTTGCAACACTGCTTGTTGCAGTTCATGTTGCACTGTAGCTTCTCGGGGGCCTGTGCCCCGTTCTGTCACGGCCGAGCTCGGGGAGCTGCCCGCTGGGGAGAAACCAGCTTCTCTTCGAGGAGATGCGTTGTTGGGTCCCTCGGTAGCATGCATCTGTTTGCTCCTCAGCCAGCCTCCCCTGCTTGCCTGCTGCAGGCACAGTCGGCACAGAAAATACCACTCGCCTCCTCCTCCCTACGGGCCTTCCTAGGTTTTTTGAGTGGGCGAGCTGGGGGCAGCGTGCTCTTGGAGAAGCCAGCAGCAGGCGGCTGTGGACCTTCCTGGCCTGCTCACTCTCCTGGCTCTCCTGAGGGTGGCAGGCCTCCGCTGCTGCCCCCATCCAGGCAGTTTGTTTCTTTGAAGTTTTTCTATGCTGTCCCAATTCTAAAAGTCTCACGTTCATGCACACCGCACTGCATTTATCTGGGCTTTCCCCACTGCTCACCCCCAAAGGCTCAGGTGGGCAATTTGTGGTCCTGCTGATGTTTGGACCAACTCCTCCCATCCTCCCTCACCACTGGCAACACTGATGGGCATTGTAGGCCAAGGCCAAACCGCTCAGAGAGTCTTGTAGGACTCTTTAAGTGGCCTATAAACTCAATAATTAACTAACTAAAGGCCAAACCACTCAGAGAGTCCATAGGATTCTTGAGTGGCCTATAAGTTCAGTGAATAAATGAATAACAAATGTGGGGCAGATGGGTCTTGCAGGGCGAGCCCCCTGGCGGTTGCCTGCAATTGCCAAAAGGTGCTGAGCAGCTTTGACCAATATTTAAATATTTGTGTTTGAAGAGGCATCCTCTCAGTGCGTATCTGTGCACAGAAGGCAGGTTTTCTGTTGTTCTGGGAAAAAGCCTTGTCTGAAGAACACACCTTGTTCTTCACGGGGAGAGGAGATGACCTTCCATGAGTACCGAGGGCTGAAGTCTCTTCTCCGCTCCCTTCCTCCCTGCCTCCCTCCCGTAGACTTGTCAGTGTTTGGGTAATCTCAGTGCGGCAGGAGCTCAATAAATAACTATTTTGGGAAGAGAGGCTGCTAGGTTGCCATTTAGTTGATGTGCAAAGCCTTCCTCCTTTTCCCAGACCTCCCTGTTCGGGGAAGGCACTTACCTGACCAGCGACCTGAGCCTCGCCCTTCTCTATAGCCCCCACGGTCTCGGTTGGCAGCGAAGCGTAATGGGCCCGATTCTTAGCTGCGTTGCTGTTTGTGAAATCATCGACCATCCAGATGTGAAGTGCCAAGCCAAGAAGAAAGGTGAGTCTCTCCTGAGCCATTCCCGGTGAGACTTCCAGCTGGAGGTGTTGCCAGGAATAAAGCCACGTGTTCTCTGCACCAGGGTGGGCAACTTTGGAGGCGTGGGGCCGCTTTTGCGCTCCATGGGAACCCCATTCTAAGACAGATAAATACCTCTAAAGAACTTGTCCTGGCGTGCTGGAGTGCAGTTAAATGGAGCCATGGGGCTGCATGTCGCTCCAGTGCTACTTTGGCCTCCCGCCTTGGCTCTAAGAGGCGCTGTTCTCGTGCAGACTCGAAGGAAATCGACAAGAAGCGAGCCAGGGTGAAGAACAGCGAAGGGGGCGACGTTCCTCAGAAATACTTCGTTGTTACCAACAACCAGCTGATTCGCGTGAAATACTTGCTTGTCTACTCACAGAAGCAGCACCGGAGGTAAGCGCTCCCCACTCCTCCGCAGATCCAGCCACAGGTGTGACACAGGGCCTTTGCACACCGCCTGAGAAGGTGTGGCTCCCCTCACCGCCCACTCGTTCGGAATGGCAGAATGGCATTGCTGGCTAGGGAAGAGAGATCCTAAAAGGGCGTGCAGAGGGTGCTGCCACACTGGCGTAGTTGCTGTGCCGGCACACAAAAGGACTGGCCTCCCTGGGAGTCTTGGGTTCCTGCCCCCTTTCAGTCAAGGCAAGCAGCTCATCCAGGTAGCTGCAGAGAGGGAGGTGGCTGCTTGGAACGGGGTGGCGCTTCATCCAGGAGGAGAGAGAGAAAGCAGAAGGGCTGCCTGGTGTTTTTTCTTGAACCAACTTGTTTGGAGGGAGTGGGGAGCTGTGTGGGACCGAGGCTGTGCGGGGGTCGCGGTGCTCGCGGGTGCTGCGCTGGGGGCCACCGCATGGGCGCGAAGCGCATTCGGGGGCAGAAATCATGATCTTGGTCCCCTTTCCTCCCACAGCTCTGCTGGTCAGTCCTGGCTCTCCAAGCATCGCTTTGCTGTGATAATGATCCTCTACTTGCTGCTGCTGATAATCATAGGGGCTAGCAACTCTCCGGCTTTCCTCTATTACCGGAACAGGCTTTTTGACTCGAAGTGGTGAACAGGCAGGCTCAGCTGGCAGTGCAGCCTACCTCACCTGATGCCTTAACGGGGAGAGCTCCGATGTCTTCTGGAAACCCATCAGCCCCCAGACCTCTGGAGACGGCCCCGGGGACGGATGGGTGGAGTGGTGGAGACGGACTCTTCTCTGGTGCCTTTATCCTCCCAGTACACCTTACCTTTTTACCGGCTTTTCTTTTCAAGCATCTGGTTCAGGAGCCTCTCCTCCCCGGCCTTGGTAAGGAGGGCACGGGGCACTGCAGGGACACCCTGGAGGGAAGATGCTGGGAGAAAACGCGGCAGGCCGGTGGCCAGGGGCGCTTCCGGGGAGACTTGCTGCACCTCGGCCTTTTCTCACGCCCTGCAAATCGGGGCGAAGTCCTTCGCCTTGTACCTCTCACAGTGCTTTCGTACTCCTTCCGGATTTGGGCATGCGGAAGATATTTGCCGAAGCACGTTGTTAAAATGTGCTGTCGATGCATACCCGCGCACGAACGGGCAGGTGGCCCCGTGCCCTTTAAAATCTGCTTTGCAGCAGGTGTCTTTTCTATGGCCAAGCCGACCTGACTGGAAAGCCAGACATGCCGCTTGGGCTCCTGGCGTGCCCGGCTTGTCTGTCCGTGAAGTCGGCCGTTCCGCTCCGCAGTTTGCTTGGCTTATCCAGCCCGCACCCCTTCCTCAAAGGGGGAGACCAAAGATTGGGAAGATGCGCGCAGCAGCAAGATCTGCGCTCGCACGGCAACTGTGCCCAACGCGAGGGGAGGGCAAGTGCGTGGCATCCGTGTGACTCTTTCGAACTTGCTCCAGCCGTGTGGCCGGGCATGAAGTGTAAGGCGGCCGCTTACTCCACCCTCTGCCAACTGGTGCTCTCCAGTGGGGCTGGACTGCAGCACCCACCCTCTGGCTGGCTGGGATGACGGGGGCCCAGTCCAGCCCACTTGGAAGGCACCAGCTTGACGAAGTCCTGTGCATGCGCTCCCCTTTGCTGCAGGAAGAGGCAGATCAGCTTGCGTGCCTTCAGAGGGGCATCTTCTTGCCACTGCCCTGCAGGAGGGGACGGCAGCCTAGAAGCCCGCGAGGTCAGGGCTCAGCTCAGTGGCGAAGGAAGCCACCTGTGTGCAGGGGCACAGGACCCCCAACGTCCTTGTGGCTAACAGATCGTTGGGGGCAAGGTGCCAAGAACTGGGGAAAGCTACGAAAGAGCTTTATCTTCCGAGGAAAGCACAATGTTTGGAGGATAAGCTTGGAATGGTGACCTTCCTTCTGTGGCTGGAAGAGAGTAAATTTTCACCGATCAGGTTTTTTGCCAGCATCTCCCTTCTCCAGTCTTCTTGTGCCCCCAACCCAAGAATCTGCCCCTGCGGACTCCGGGATACCGTGTGCGGGGCGGTGGGTCTAGGTGAAGGGAGGAATTGCTGGAAGTACCCCTTTCTGTAAGTGAACAGGATCTTGGATCCAAGCCATGACCCTCTTTTATAATGTATCCTTTAGGAATGCTGTTTGTCATAATTCATGGCACATCATCTAACTGGGAATCAAGTTGGGGGGAAATAAATAAGGAAACAGTCCTCTTAAGTTTTCTCGCAGAGCCTAACGCTGGGGCTAGGTGTCCTTTGTTGTGCTACTTGTCTGGGAAAGAACCAAGCGGATCCTTGCTGGAAAAGGTGGGTTTCCCTCCCCTCCCCACACCTCAGGCCTTCTGCAGGTGAACTGCTGCAAACTCCAGGTCCCCTTTTCTAAAGTGGGGATGCCGGTGGCCTACCTCGCAAACTTGTTGTGAAGGCAATCGCAATAATGACTGTCAAGCACTTTGAACATTAAAGTCGCTATGTGCGTGGGAAGGAGTGGTGTCGCGCTTTCATGTGGTCCAACGGAGTGGGCGCACTGGGCTTTGAAAAGACCCAAGAACTGTTTGATGTGCCTCTCGTGCTCCTTTCTATTCCCTGCGCTTGGATGAGAAGCCATGTTTGAAACGAAGGTAAATTCGAAGGTAGTTCGTGGTGCTGCATGCAGGGAGGCAGGATTTTACTTTTCAGAGGTGTGAGAGAACCCAGTTTTACTGAGCTACTATTGTAGTACTATTTACTACCTAAAATAGTAGCTCAGTAAAACTGGGCTCTCGCAGAAATAGGAATATTTAGGTATTTAGGAATACCTAAAATAGTACTTTAGATTTCAGCGGATTTGTTCATAGCTTCCCTAAGGGCTAGTAATTCTGCAACTAGCTCTTGCTTCTTCACTTCTGGATGTGGGAAACTAGGATCTGTCTCTTTGTCTCCTTCATCCGAGCAGAGCTGCAATCCTGCACAACCACAACTGTGTCTCTCAGTGCCCTTCCCTAAGAATAGCCATTTCCCATCGCTTTCCCAAAGTAGTTCCAGGCAGTGCAGAGAAAATAAGGGGGTGGGAATTGCACAGGACTGCGGCCAAAAGCAGGCCGCTCCAGCTGGAGACGGAGACCCGTCTGCGGAGCTGCGTGTCTCATTTCATTCAAGTGGCAGGAGGGGGCCTTGGCAAGGCATCCCCCGGGGCCAGCAAGGACCTGTGTGTGGGGGACCTTCTCTGTTGCCCCCAGATTCTGGCAAGTTTTTTCTGACTGGCTCTTCTCTTCTGCATTTAGGAAATGGATCGCAGCACATCTTTTTTTACTTAGTCTTTTAAACTTGTCGCAGCTTGTAATGTTTTGCAATATGTTAATTCAATGGTGCTTTTTCTTTTGTTAATGCCATTGGCCGGCTTCAGAAAAGGGGGCAAGAAAGTCTGTAAAGGCAGACATTTCGGTGGCACTCCGAGAATGGCCAGCAAAGGCCCTGGGAGAAGGCTTGGGGGTGGTGGTCAGGTTCTCCTTCAATGCTGGGGCGAGAGCAAGGTCTTTTCCTCTGATAACTGCTAGCGGGGGAGTGTGTCCCTCAGTCCAAGGCGTGTGTGTGAGCTTTCATGCTCCCCACGGAGCTGCGTCCAGTGATGCCAGTTTACTGAGACAGAAGGCATTGTGGATTTCGGCTTCCATAAGCTCAATACCCCTTTCTTCCCATAGCAGACTGTATTATTACTACTTTGTGTTCGTATCCCACCTCTTTGTGTGAGGAACTCAAGGCAGCTTACGCAGGAGAGTCAGGAAAGTCTGGCTTGCATCTCTAGGGATGGGCTATCCATATGAGCAAGGAAGAGGTTTGAACTCCCACTAGAAAGATTCCCCCCCCCCACCCCCAATAGCTATCTTTTGCTCTTACAGAAAAAGCAAAGTGGTACCCCTTGGGATGGCAAATCTAGACAGCATACAAAAAAGCAGAGACATCACCCTGCCAACAAAAGTGCGTATAGTCAAGGCTATGGTTTTCCCAGTTGCAATGTATGGCTGTGAAAGCTGGACCATAAGGAAGGCTGAGCGCCGAAGGATTGAGGCCTTCGAATTGTGGTGCTGGAGGAGACTCCTGCGAGTCCCTTGGACTGCAAGGTGATCAAACCGGTCAGTCCTAGAGGAGATCAACCCTGACTGCTGTTTAGAAGGCCAGATCCTGAAGATGAAACTCAAATGCTTTGGCCACCTAACGAGAAGGAAGGACTGCCTGGAGAAGAGCCCAATGCTGGGAACAATGGATGGCAAAAGAAGAAGGGGACAGCAGAGGATGAGGTGGCTGGATGGGGTCACTGAGGCAGTTGGTGTGAGCTTAGGTGGACTCCAGGGGATGGTGGAGGACAGGAAGGCCTGGAGGAATGTTGTCCATGGTGTCGCGATGGGTCGGGCACGACTTCGCGACTAACAACAACCCTTTGGAACAATCGGGCAGTGAGGAGATCTGCCCTGCCTGGGCACAGGTGATGTGCCGGTGCTCCGCAGGTGTATGTCCACCTGTTGACTTTGAAGGAGGGAGGGTGCTTGCGGCAATTTCCTTGTGGGGAGCCCAGAAGAAAATTAGGTGGGGAAAGGGCTCTCTGTGCCAGGTGCGTCTTGTGTTCCTGCTTCAGGAGAGTGTTCCAGTCATGGGCTTTTCCCACCCACAGGTAGGCAAGCCCCCTCGTTTCCCCCACAGTGGCTGGTCCCAAACGCTGCCTCTGAGAGCAGAAGTGTGACAACTTTTCAAATACCTGGGAAGTGCCATCCCATCTCCCCTCAGCCTTCTCAAAATGTGCATGCCCAGTTCTTTCAATCTCCTCCATGGGGCTTTGTTTTGAGTCATTCCTGTTGCCTTCCTCTGAACCAAAGCAAAATAAACCAAAGCCCAAATAAAACATACTGTTTCCCAAACTGGATCCAACCGGAAGTATAATTTACATTATATCTGGTCTCCAGCCACATTTAATTCAGGACACGTTTTGGACAGAATTGCACCCTGCCCTGTGGGCAACCAAATAGCTGATGACTCCTTGGTGTCCACTGAGTGGAAACTGGGGTGGTCAACCTTTTGGGGTTGTGGGGAAACCCCGCCATGGAACCCTTGGAGGGCCACCCGCAGCCGCGAGATTTTCCCTCTGGGGATGCCTATGCCTGTCCTGTGCCATGTTTCCTGCAGCAGTGGGGAGAAGCCTTTGAGAGACCCTCTTTGGGGAAAACTTTGCGCAGGGGGGACCCTCTTGTGCCCTGTGCAGTGGTGGCACCGCTGGCCTCAGGAACTGGGCCTGTGGGTTGCCCCCCCCCCCCCGCATTAAACAAGTTCATTTCCGGAGTCCATTCACATGCTTAGCTGCATGTTCTCAAGTGCACCCCAATGTCACAGATGCAGTGTGGGTCTGTGCCGAGCGTCTCCCTTAATGAAGATCCTTCCTCTATAATACAGTGAGTGCTGCGCCACTGGAAGCACTTGACGGTGCCTGGCCACGATCCCGAGAGTCTTTATTGTTCATCTCCGAGACAGACCCGAGGGCCTTTTCCGTGTGCGTCAGAGTTAATTTCAACGTGCCAAGGCAGAGCCTCATGTCCTCGCGGAACGATGGTGTGTAGAGCCCGTAGATGATGGGGTCCGTGCAGGTGTGCAGCAAGCCAAAGAGGAACAGGAAGTGGCCGATGTATTCCGGCATCTTATGGATCATGTCCGGCTGGAACCAGTACCACAAACCCAGGAGGTAATAAGGGGTCCAGCAAATGATGAAAGATGCCACTATGACGATCGTCATCTTGAGCGTCTTCATGCGAGCCTTGGAGATGTGGTCGTCCTTCCCCCTGGCCAGGCCTGTGGGAAAGTTGCAAAGGGGCCAGTTACCTGAGGAACCGGGGCGAGTGACGTCTGAACCAGCAACAGAAGGAACTGCGCAGGCCAAGACGGCAGGCTCCTACAAATGTGGACCGGCATTCTCCGGGGGGTTAGGGGGACCCTGTGAACTGGTGGACAGTTCCCCGCAATGCAGGAATTTAAGTGTAGGGTCTGCTAAGGACCTGGACTGGGAGGGGTTACCTGATCAGTTGGATTTTTGGATGGCCATAAATTATTTAGAGCAGTGAAGTGGCCAAGTTTGCTGATGATACCATTCAGGTGTTAGAAATAAGGGATTGGTAAGTGTTTCCAAAGATTCCTCCAGGACTACAACTCCCAGCATGAGGCTTACCATCATTTGTGGCTTTGGCAATGGACAGACAGCACAAAGAGCGAGTTCCCTGAAATTCAAGGCCCTTGAAGGCAATGAGGAAGGTAACACGCTAAGCCCAAAGCTTGTATCACACGCAGAGAAAGGACGGGAAACTCACCTTGGTTAATTTTCAGTTGCTTGCTAATCTCCGCTAAGATGCGGGTGTAGCAAATGATCATTACACACAGTGGGGTGACGTAGAGGCTGGCGAAGGTGAACATGTTGTAGGTGGTCTCCTGCCAGTGCTCCTTGAAACTTCCGTGCGTCACACACTGAGTGAAATTGACCCCTGGGATGGTGTGCAGGTGGAAGAGGAAGAGCTAGAATTGACACGGGAGGAAGATCAGGTTTTCCTAAGTGGTGGGCAGGCTGCGGGGAGCACTGGGCATCCCTTCCCAAGTCTACAGACCCCTGCACATTTTCACGCTGCTTTTTTAACAACCGGGTGAGGTGGGTTCGGCGAAGAGGCAGTGACTGGCCCAAAGCCGGGAGTGAGTAACAGGTGGGAACTAGAAGCTGGAAATCCCCAGTCCGGGTGCAACAGTGACCACTGTGACCCCCCACCTCAAATATTGAACCTCATTGTCCTTGTACTTTCTTTCCACATCAGGAATAATACCTTATTTCCCCCAATTTAACATTTAAAAAAAAACCCTCTGAAACTACTGTTTAAAAATGATGCTAATCTGGAAGGTCATGTTATTATCCAAGCAACCTGTGAAAATCCATGAGTAGGGAACGACAAGCGTGCAACAAATGCCTTGTCTCAAAAAGCTCACAGAATTCAAGGGGACCTCAGAGGATAGCTAGTCCAACCCCCAGGTGATGTGGGAAGTCTGTTCCCACAGGCCAAAGAGCTTGTTTATATACTCAGCAGGCTGAACTGATGAAATTTTTGTGAGGGGGCGGTTGTTGCTTCAGGGCGACCATCTCAGATAGGAACACCTCTGGTGTTCTCTCCGCTGCCTGCCCTCTCATGGCACACATTTGTGCATGGATCACATGCACAGCAGGGGAGAGGATTTATTCATGTCAAAGCACATCCTGCATTTCTTCCCAGCAATGAGCCTTTAAGGCAGCAGGCGATGCAGGAAAATTAATATGGAATAAACATACCATTTTGCTGGGAGTTTCTGACTTGGGAAAGCTTGGGTGAGATGGGGAGACCATGAATGGAAGCTGTCCATTCCCCAGGCCTTGGGTCAGGAGCCAAGGGTGGGAAGGATCGAATGATGGACCAAATGATGGTCAAATTGCACCCTGGGAAAGATCGGGGACAGCACGTTCCCTCCGTAGGTGAGAGCAAACATGACTATAAGATGTAAGATTTTAAGACAGCCAGTGGTGAAGAGTGCAGGGTTGGGACTCAGGCGATCCGGGTTCCAGTCCCCTCTCAGCCATGGAGCCAACTGGGTGACATTGGGCCAGTCACAGGGTCTCAGCCCAGCCTACCTCACAGGGTTGTTGTGAGGATAGGATTGAGAGCAGCAGGAGGGGAATGATGTAAGCTGCTTTGGGTTTGTTATAAGGGGAAAAGAGGGATATAAATCTAATAAATAATATAAGCAGGATCATTTCGCTCAGCACTGCCAAGTAGTGCGCCCAGTCTTTGCCAAAGCTTTACTCAGTCTACTCACAAGTAAGCAGACCTCGGTTCAGGCGTTCTCCCTCCCATCTGACGCTCATGTGCATGCAGGACAGGGCCTTTCCTGCGGGGCGGACTCTCTGGCGCCCTGGCTTCTTACCTGGGGAGAGGCCAGCAAGAGGCTGAGTGTCCACGCGATGCAAAGCATCATGCGATTCCGGCGGCTGGAACTGGCAAAAGAAAGCGGGTGGACGATCGCGGCATGCCGGTCCAAGCTGATCACCACAAGCACCAGCGCGGCCGAGTACATGGCAAAGAGCTTGAGGAAGTTCAGGAACCTGCAAAGCGCGTCTCCGGCGTACCACTGGACCGTGACGTTCCACGCGGCGTCCAGCGGCATGACCGTCACGGTCACCAGCAAGTCCGCCGCTGCCAGGTTCCGGATGAGCCGCTGCACGTGAGACTTCTGTCTCTTCCTCGAGACGCTGTAGAAGACGGCAGAGTTGTTGCACGCGGCCACCACAAAGAGGCAGCCGGTGATGACAACCCGAGCCTTGGCGGCGAGCGTGAAGGTCGGCTGGACCCAGGCCTTGGGGCAAAGGTAGACCGAGCCGTTCTCACTGGCGGGGCTGCATCGCTGTGAGTGCTGCATCTGTGGCTCGCCTTCCGTGGCTGCCGGGAGGAAACCAAGAAGGGATTGCTTTTGGCATGCAGCCCTCCGGGGCGCCTGCTTCAGCGGGGCGGTGCTGAAGGACCACCACTTCCGTTTGGATCCAGAGAGGTACTCCTAAGAGCTGAGAAACAGTCTGCACAGAACCCTTTCTCGGGGGAGCCAGCGATGCACCCAAGTGGGGCGAGCATCAGGAATCGTGGCCGGACGGATCGCTGCAGCCGAGGCCAGGCCTGCGGCCTCAGCTTCAGCGGCACAGAAGCTGCCCCCACAACCCGCTTGAACAACAGTGGTGGATGCCGCAGGGATCTGGAGCAGACTGCCGGGGAGGGAACCACATGATGGCAGGGGGGGTCCATCTGTGATTTCTAAAATATGGAATACAACTGACAGAGGCATCCCCACAGTGAGAACACTCAGAGGGTGCATTTAAGGGGAAGCTACGGAGCAAACGGAAGAGACCGACTATGTTTCTGAACCTGGCAAGGTCATGAATATAGAACTATGTGCTGATTTTCTTTTGCGAAAGCTTGGCTCGGAGGGAGAAGCAGCAGCGTGGCGGCTTGATGATGCCGCAGCTGTCGGCCAGAAATGGTCGGCGCTGCAGTGGTGCGAGCCCAGCCTCCACCAGCCGGAGCGGGCCCCTCATTTCCCCCAGCTCCTAGCCAACCTAGCGGCTCGAAAGCATGCGAGATGAATAGGTGCCACCTTGGTGGGAAGGAAACGGTGCTCTGTGGCATCATGCTGGCCACGTGACTGGGGGATCGTCCTTGGGCAGCGCTGGCTCGTGGCCTCAGACGGGGAGATGAGCATCACCCCCTCGTGGCTCCACCGGTCCCTTTCTGCTCAGAGCAATCACACCCACCGTTGCTCGTTCACACCCACATCTGTGGTGATTCGTGAATGGCCCCACCCACACTCAGCCCTTTGCATGCCAGAAAGAAATGGCTCCTTACCGTCAGGTGCTCCAGGGAAAAGAGGCTGTTCCGCCCAGGTGGTGTGGCAGTGCATCTGACAGCCCGCAGCTCCCCATGGGAAATGCTGGAAGCATCGGAGGCTCTTCCACACCTGGGCCTGGGAGCTGCGGCAGCTATAGCTATGGTAGCTAGCCATTGCACCAGGTTGCACCCTACCCTGACCCCGACCCTGCCATTAGACTGAGTCAGGCTGCGGTCCCATCCAGTCCAGCACTGCTGTGTCTGAAGGGCCATAAATGGCCCAGGGTTTCAAGTAGAATCCCTTCTTAGCCCTACAGAGGTGCAGATCTTGTTAAACCCTTTCCATCCACTTCTCATGCATTGCCAAGTCTCTTTCTCTCTGTTGTTTCTCTGGTGCAAACTCACAGAACCCAAAGGTGCACCAGCGTGCAAAAGCCCAAATGTGCACCAGCCAGGTCACGTTTGCCCCATTTCCCCCTCGCATTTCCCCATCGCATGCCTCCAAAGAGGCCGGTCTTCTGTGGAACCTGTGGGTCGTATGCTGAAGAACGTGCGTGCGTTTGAATCTGTCGCGGATTTCTCAGATGTCCGCACCTGGGACTGGCAGGCACGTGTTCGGCCAAGGAGCCACACCTCCGTATGTCCTCCAAAGTGCCATGGTTGGAATAGCTCCCCACACAACCTGTCCACTCTAAGGCGGCCAGAAACAATTTGGGCTGTATTTTCCTACTGTCGGGAGAGGAGGAAGGAGGGGGTTCCATTTCTAAAAGTATATCCTTGGCCTCAAGCCTATATGAGGGTGTGGGGGGGGGGGGCATTCTTCTGCTCTGAAAGGAAATCCATTCCTTCATTAGAATACGCGGATGCAGACAGCAGCAAAAGGCAATCACCACATGCTCAGAAGAAATGCTTTTCTTTCTCACGTAATGGTTGGCGAGCTCCTGGCCATAGATGGAAGGGAATGGCACAATATGGATATGATTACAGGAGGAGAACTTCACAAGCGTGTAATCCTATAACTATCTATTCAGATGCAAGTCCCACTGAGTTCAATGCCCCTTACTCCTAAGTAAGTAATTTGGCTTACTTGCTATTATAAGCATGATTCTCGGCATGACTGGCTCATACTGCTTTTTCAGACATTCTGAAAGATATAATTCTCAAAAACCTGTATGATGCTGAAAGTTTCTGGTGCATTTCAAACTGCTTTTCGGGATGGATTAGTGGGGAATCTCACTTGTGGGGCAGTACTGTTGGATCACTGTTTACTGCTAGGTGAATAGGGTTGTCCACTCCCCTTGCCCTTCTCCTCCAGGGCATCCACTTCCCCCAAATCTGAACACATTGTGGTTAATTCAAACTATGATTTGTCCAAACAAGCCAAGTTCAAACTGTGATTTCTGATCCTGGCTTGTTTGGATGACACAGGAACCTGTGGTTATTCTTAGCTTAAACTGAGGGGGTCCTTCTGGTCATGAGGCCAGTGGAGAGGATGTGCGCAAAAGGCTTGTGTTTGTCATGCCAAATTGTGTTTAGGTCTTACATCGGGACTGGGATCAGCGTTCTCAGTAGAAGGTCAGAGGGCAAAACAATTCAGAAGAAAGAGCCATGCCACTTGGTCCAATCTATTCCATAAGGCAGTACTCACGGAATACTTGATATTATGCCTGTCTTCACTCTTCTTTATTCTAGAGTCCCAAAGCTGCAGTCCTTAAACCATAAGTACCATGACGTAAGTAAAAGCAGCAGGGAAAAAAGCAGAAGTTAAAATGCCAGGCTTAAGAGAGGGGTGGGTCACTTTGGGGAGGGAATTCTATGCTGGATCCAGTGTTGCCTAGTGGTTAGCATAGGATGCAGGGGATCTCATTTCTAGTTTTCCCTCAGCCATAAAACTCACGAGGTACCTTTGGGCCGGTCACAGACTGTTACCCCAATCTACCTCACAGGGCCGTTGTTGTGAGGATTAAAAGGAGAGAAGGACCACCTTGTAAACTGACTTGGATTCCATACAAGAAGAAGAAAAATGTGGAGTGAATGCAATGCAGTAGTAATTTTAATTGTTAATATTATTTATTTATTTTATTCTTTGGCCAGGGCGACTTAATTTATATTGTTTTATAGGATGTTATTTATTTATGTTTGTGAGCTGCCCCGAGGCTTCGGTGAATGGAGTGGCATAGAAGTTCCCTAAATAAATAAATAATCACATTGGGGGGGCACCAGCAGGAAGAGGGGGGCATGTTCCCAGGCTGGGCAGGGCGGGAAATCTGAGCAAGCAGCTTCACGCAGGCACGGCCAGGAGACCCCTTGGAATGGGGGGATGCCACAAAGGCTGAGCCGCAATCGGCACTTGGGGGAAAGGGGATCCGGGGAGGGGGGTGGCGACCCCCAGCTCTGCCCCCAAACCACACCGGGCACTGTCTCCAGCCGTCCTGCTGCCCAAATGCCTCTCGAGCAGGTACTGAAAAGCATCCCGTGGTGCTATTTTAAGCACAAAGTCCCGCCTGCCCCGAAACACGCAATTGACTGCCCAATTCCGTGTGTCACGGTCACATCGAGCTCACCTTTCCCCCAAGGGGTCCTAGGACACACACGCACTCCTTCCTCTCACGTTCACCCACACAACCGTCCTGAGAGGTAGGCCAGGCCGGTGACTGACCTGCAGTGAGCTTCGTGGGTGAGTGCAGTGCCCGCTACGTCACAGTGGCTCTCCGTTATGGGACCCACAGAGTTCAGTGGGGCTTGTTGCCAGGTATGGGGCACAGAGCTGCAGCCTGAAGCCGGAACTCCAGCGGTTAAAAATGGAAAACTGTCCAGTTATCCACAAATCAATCAGCTGAAGTAGTAAGTACGGCTTAACAGCCCTGTGAGCACGGGCTCCATCCATCCTCGGTACACAACAAAACAGGCCCGAGTAACTGCATTCTAAAAGCAAGGTGCCCTTCCATAAATCGGAACTAGCCAAGTCACAAACCATCTCAGGCGTTTGCTCGCCGTTGTCACATCTCAGAAAGCCCACATAGCCTTCAAAGGGAAATAAAAAGATGACGGAACCAAAAGATGTTAAAAATCAGACCCACCAAAAGGACTCAGGGGATCTATACCCCGTGGTTACTAAGATCTGTTGGCCCCACGGTGGAATTCCACGCTCTAGAGATTGCGGTCAGGTGCACCTGCAGGACGAGCCCTGTGCTAGTGACTCTCTGATAAAAGCAGATATGAAAAAGAGAAGCAGGAATCCACGCTCAGTGGAAGTCTCTCTACTATACCTGCACTCCACATGTCCTTGAAAGGAAAAAGGGGAAGGTCGCGGGTTGTGTTGTCTTCCCGGGCTGATGCAAGCACTTCCGACCGGCTCTCTGCAGCTCTCAGGACCATATCGCCCTGCTCTTCAGGTGATGCCTGGGCTTGGAAAGCCGAGCGAAGGACTCAGCAGAGCCGCGCCGGGACCTTGCCTGCCAGCCAGCCGGGCAGCTGCAGCTGCCGCAGCTTCGGGGTCACCGCCGGCAGCCCAGCCCCGGGACAGAGCGGCATCTCCTGCATGCAGAATGCTGCAAGACGAGCCAGGGAGCGCAGCGGAAAGGACGCGATGCCCGGACCTTGCAGAAGAGACCGTTTTAATCCATACTGCAGCTGCCAGACGTTCTCTCCTCTGCAGAAACAGACTCCTGGCAAAGCGTGAGCCGCCCGTGCCACTGCTTAGCCCCAGAGATCTCAGAAATGCACCAGAGCTGTCCAGGGCACATGGTCTGCAGCACTGGGTGGCGGAATGACTGACGACGGGCCCCCCAAATGTTCCTACGTGTGCCTAAATATAGGCACCGCTTCGCAGAGACAGATCTTGGCCCCACGGAGCCTGCCAGTGGGGAGGACGTGGGGCAGAGGGTCCTTCAACCCTTAGCCCTGCTCAACACTCCCGTGTGGCCAGGAAGTGCCGTTCTGCATTGAAGGGAGACCTCGGGCGGGAACTGCCGAAGCACCTGCACATCAGCCGAGCAGCCGATACACTTGGTTCTTGAGGAGTCCCACTGCACTCCGTGGGGACTCCCCCTGGGTATCCATATACAGAACCGCGGCCGAAGGGAAGGCAGCTCAGCTCCCGCCGGGGGACCCAGAGCAGCCCGACCGTCAGTGCGTTTGAGCCTAACACATCCTTGCCGGCAGCAAAGCCTTAGGAGTGATTTCGAAGAAGAGAAATAAGGAAGAGAAAAGCGGAGAGAAAGCGGTGCAAAAATGGGGAAAGCAGCCAACGCCTGGTGGCTGGGGAGTCGGGGCTGGGCCTGGGGGCGGGGGGGTGGCACCTGGGGCAGCCCCGAGGGCCAGGTTTGGGCCGCACGCTTGCTGTCCAGCACTCCTCTCCTAAAGAGCTTGTTGAGTTTAAGGATGAGGCAGGTGGCTTGCAGGACGCCACCGGCAGGCCTGGAGCCACCCGGACGGCTGCAAATGCACCCAGACACATCTGCGTTCTCCAGGCAGGCACTGTCCCGAGAGAGCCTCCATTCACAGCATGGACTCTGGCGGTGGTTTCAGCTCTGCCTCCCACGCAGTTCGGAAGTTAATAATCTGAGAAGCCTGCTAGGCAGGGGCGAGGACCTCATCTGGACTGCCACAATCTGACTTTTTCCTGCAAAATTGGCTCTTCCGAGGAGAGGTCACGCGTCCCTGGCTCTCCCTGCTCAGCTTCTGCCCTCGCAGCTGCCGCGAGAGGTTGCTTATGCCAAATGGGAAACGGGAATGTCAAGGGCTCGCTTCATTCCAGCGGCCTTCCCCAGCCGGTGCTTCTTCCACCGCACTGCAGTGAATAGAGCCCTTGACCCAAACCCATCATCCTCAGCCACCATGGGAAGCGTGAGGGAGGGCTGCACTCCCAGCATGCCCTGGCAGGCACCGCTGTCCGAGCGCGCCAGTTTCCCTCTGGCGTGCAGTGCCTTTGATGCGTGTCTTCGTAGGCATACGGGGGAAACGAGTCGAGTGATGTTTGGGAGACTTCACACACCCTACTGGCCCGTCCGCCACCCACCCAAAGCGCATCTCCACCCTCCCACCACCGCTTCTCTGGACCAGAGTCCTCTTTGGGTGGCCTTTCCCCCATGCTGATGGGGCACGTCAGGAGGAGAGCACCTGCCGGCAGCCCTGCCCTCTTCGGTCCCCCCTGCAGGTGGACTGCGGCCACCCTGCAACCTTGGGGGCGGACATGGCAACTCGGAGCTCCGGAAAAATGGGGATCATAGGAAGTCCTGCTGTTTAGACCGCCTCCCTCGCATGTGAGGGGCCACCAGTGCCGCCGCGGCCCACATCACCTGGGCGGCTGGCACAGTCCCTCATCACGCCTAGGAGGGGCCTGTACCAGCTGCCCAGGTAATGTGGGCCACGCTTCAGCCTTAGCAAGCACGGTCCGTGGCCACGGATGATGGAAGGTGCGCTCCGACTGCCCTGGGAAGGTAACAGGTTCGCCTGACCCCTGGGGCAGAGAGACTGGACTCGGGACCGTCCCAACGACCGGGCTTGGGCCGTGCGACACCACGGGCCGAGTACGGATTAAGTGAGGGTGGCGTTAGAGGGTAGGTTGTTGTTGGAATGTGGGCTGCCATAACTCCCGAACCCAAATGAGATCGCAAACCGCAGGGAACAAGGAAATCGCCAGCCACTGTGCGGGGCTCACAGTGAACAAGCAGGTCTTGCTAGTGCGGCTGGTTCGGACCACGCTGTGGCCCAGGCTCGACAGCAACCCAGCCACTCGCAGCTGCCCGGAAGCCCCGCGTGTGGATCGTGGCGCATCTGAACCCAGGCGGAGAGCCTCAAAAGTCCCGAGCGGCCACTATTCCTCCAAATCAATGTCTCCCGACAGCAACTGGGTTGCGTTGCTGTGACCACGCAGGGCTAGGAAGCGTGTGGTGCTCCAGATCTCGTTAGACCACAGCCCCCATCGTCCCCAGCCACTGGCCGTGCTGGCCAGGGCGGATGGGAGTTGCCATATATAACCCCTGGCCAGGGTGTTCCCTGCGAAGCAAGCTCAGCCGGGCATCCCGGGGGCTTACCTTCCTCTGCCAGCGTGACCATGTGGGCTGCTTCCTCGCTCTGCTGTGGGTGGCACAAAACCCCCACGGAGGCCGTCACACCACTCCCGGTTTCCGTGTCGCACTTTTCATCTAAGACCAGCCGCCATGATCAAGAAGGCGCAAACTTGCTAGAAACCAAGCGCGGTGTTTGGAGGAAGCTCCTTGCACAGCTGCTTCGGGAACCTGCAAATGAAAGCAAGGCCGGACGTCAAGGGAGCACCGGAACTGTCCCCCCATCCCCATCCCCGTCCCCATACCCCACCCCACACGCCAGTAGCATGCTGGATATGAAATGGGGCTGGGAGGGGGGGTCAGCTCTCCGTAAAAACTGGGGGTGCGGGCTTCTGTGGGGTGGGCGGAAAAGGCCTGCTGGTTCCCCCGCCCTTTGCCGCTTGGAACGAAAGCTGCTGAAATTCCAGTGCTTCTACCCCCCGCTAGGTTTCCATGGTCCTGCTTTCTAGATTAGGCCTGCCTACAAAACCTCTTTTGTCCCAGCGGCTGACCTGTGCTGAGAAGGAAAGAAGAAAAAGAAAAGCCGCACGGCCTCCTCCGTTGCCAGCGCACTGAGCGTTGCCTCAGCCGTTTCTCAATGATTTCCCCAGTGGACCCATCCTGCAGCCAGCTGGCAGAACTCTGCACACGGTCTAAGCAGTCTTATCCAAGATAATACGGGCTGTAGGAATTTCTGGGATTTCTAGCTATTTGCGAGCTATTCGGCTGTGCGCTGCTTCGAAAATGCAGGCCCAAGGGGAGACCAAGTTGTTTGGGCTGAATTTCCTGGATGCTTTAGCATGGTTGCAAAAACAAGTTTTGTGACACCTCGGAGGGTAAAGGTGCAGCCCTTCTTATAGGCTCATTCGTGGAATTTTGCTGCAGTCCCAATCTTGGTTGTCGGCTGCTTGAAGCAAAGTTTTCCCACCCCACCCCCATCTTCGTTTTTTTAATCACAGCTTTGCCGTGGGGCACTAAAGTCCACGTCATTCGGTGCAAGATGCATTTGATGATGCAGAGTCCAGTCTACAAAACCTATGCCATAATAAATGTTATTAGTCTTTAAGATGCTGCAAGAAATTTAATTTTGCTGCAGACAAAACAACCAGGATGAAAAGGACAAACTAAACAGCCTCGTGCCAAGCGTCAGAATTTGCTTAATCTATGACGGTAATAACATTCGTGTTCTCCACTCACAAGAGTCAGGATCCCAACTTCCCCGTCTAGATTTTTGACTTATTCTCTAGATGATGTGAGGATCTTTAAGCTAGTACGTGAGGCCACAGACGATGTGGTCGGTCGCATCGGCAATGAGCATGCAATATAACCGGCATCCTTGGTTAAGTGTTGGAGGAGAAAACACCAGTGAGCCAGTGTGGCGTAGTGGTTAAGAGCACGGGGCTGGGACTCAGAGGATCTGGGTTCGAGTCCCCGCTCGGCCATGGAGCCAACTGGGTGACTTTGGGCCAGTCACAGACTCTCAGCCCAACCTACCTCATAGGGTTGTTGTTGTGGGGATAAGATGGAGGAGGAGAGATGATGTAAGCTGCCTTGAGTCCTTTGTAGGAAAAAGGCAGGATATAAATCACAATATAAATAAATAAATTTAGCGGGGCAAAACTGGTCTTCATCTACTTTTAGTGTAGGGTCAAGTGTGCGTTGCACAGCTGCACATGGCTAAAATGAGTCACGGCAAATTGTGACCAGCTTCAGCAACACTGGAGAGGAAACAGAACGGCTTGGCGAGCATCTTTCAGCAGAAGAACAGGACTGCTGTCACTTGATCCAGAACTTTAGGGAGCATGAGCTGGATGAACAACCAGGGTGTTTTGCTGGGGAAGAAAAGTGAGCCAACGGAGGTACGTTCACCATGCATTAGATTCCAGGATGCAGCCTGAAAATAAAGAGAAGGGTTGCTTGCCCGTACCTTCCTTTTCTTCAAACGTGCCTGGCATAGAAGTGTTTGGAAGTGGCTTTGGATCCCGCAAGTAAGTTTCTCCAGCCATACTGAAGTGATAACTTAGCAGTTCGTCTCTGGTGGCATCCAGGTGCGTAATTCAGAGGTTTCCAGAGGCGACCTCTGACCCTGGAGGCAGCAGGGCTGAAATAACTAGTGGCCACAGCTTGTGTTGCTCTGTGTGTGTGTTCATGTAATTCCTTGATCGATGCACCCAGTTTGATGATCATCACCACATTTGGGGGTAGAAAATTCTGCAAAGAAGGCCCTCCCTTTGTCTGACCTGAATTTCTTAGATGACCTCTTTGGGTTCTTGTACTGAGACAGAGAAAAACCAAATCTCCGCTTTCTCCATGCCAGGTACAGTTTTATGCACATCTGTGGCCGTGACCTGACTTTTTTCTAAACTGTAATGGCTGCAAAGTTGAAACCTTTCCTCCTGGACACTGCGTAGTTCACCCCACTCACCCACCACACACAGCCTGCTTCAGATGTATTGGGCTGCAACTCCACCATACCTGACCATCATCCTCTGCTGGCTGGGGATAATAGGAGTTGTAGTCTCACGCCTTTGCAGGGCCCCAGCGTCAAGGAGGCTGTCTCAAGCTGCCTCCAGCACAACACGACCTGGGAAAGTTCTGCCTCATACTGGATCCTGCACAGAAGGACTAGTCTGGGGGACTGGAGGCTATGCGAGTAAATATCAATAACCATTAAGTCATTTCCCCAGGCTTGGAGAGAAATGAGCGCCAGAGGTACACTGAGTCCTCCATAGCTGCCAGAAAGGTCATGAGTTTAGAAAACATGCTTGCCAAGAGGTTGTTTTTTATTTTCTCAAACATTATTTGGTCTTCGGCTCCAAGCCGGCTACTTCACCCCCGGCTTTAGGGAGGCGTCCAGCGTTGATCCCTAAACCAAACCCATCTTTTAACAGCATCCTTCATTTGGATGTGGTCAGAGTCCCATATATTCTACAGCCCTAAAAACCTGGATTTGCCCAAGGAAAACTGCGTCTGCAAACTGGATGGTGTGGATCGTTAATATTTTTACACGTGCTCAACTCTGAAGGCTCAGAGCATCACAATACAAAGATGAGTTATGTTGCATATATTTACAACTGAAGCCCAAGTCTGTTGCACAGGCTGCAGTTGAGGGAAAGGCACTTTGTACATGCTTAGGTATAATATCCCTTCAGATCTGTCTCCTGAAAGAAGGGAGATGACCAAAATCAGGAAGAGAGGGAGATAAACGGGATGAAGGTGCATAAAGAAGAAGTGGGGTTGCATGACCCGAGGGACCGCTTCACAAGAACGCGAGTGTCTTCCTTAACCCAGAATGGGCACAAGAAAGTGCGGAAAGGCTCCGCAGGGCCCCTGGGCGACTTGTTTGCGGAGCACTGGCCTCGAATCTTGAAGAGAACAAAGCATGCTAGAAATCTGAACCCACTTGGAAGTGGACCCCATGGAGTTCAGTGGCACCTGGTGCCAGGTAAGTGGGTATATAATTGGCGATGCCATCTTATCTTTCATCCTTTCCCTCTTTTAGAGTAAGCCGTTAAAGATATTTCCAGTGCTCTGAACATTGACCCAGCTTTACATTTTTTTGACGTCAGTAAGTGTTAAAATGGTTGGATGAATGGAAAGTGCCCTAGAACAGGGCGAGGGCTTTGGAAAATCTCAGAATAGTCCGTGTTTTCCTCTGTAAATCAGCTCATGTTGGAAATGCCCAAGAAACACAAGGATTCTAGGCTGCTCCGAAGCAAACCAAGGATGTTTTTTTGAATGCAAAGGGAGTTTGAACCCAGCTCCTGCATGGATTGGATCCAAGATGTGACAGATGTGAAAGGATGGAGACAGGAGACCTCTGCAATTTTTCTGCCACATCTGTGGGGGATCCAGAGGGCGCCTTCCACTCAAAAGCCCCCCATGTTTTCCAATACTTGGTCCATTCATATCCTCACCATTAAGAACATCCATTCAGGAAGAAAAATGGAAAGCTGGCACACAGCCTTGGAAGGGCCACGGCAAGAAACTCTCTCTCGGGAGCCACCCTGGACCTGCCTGGACATGCTTGTGATACCTCCCGACTCAGGCCTTGGGTGTCAGTGGATTGCAAGAGATTTTCGCTTTCTAGCAGTCCCTCCTCGCCTTGAGATATTTTCAGCGATGTGCACTGCAAGAGGTTTGGCCTGATTCACATGTAACAAGAACACAGTTTGGAAAAACCTCTGTGTTGTCATGAATAAGGCAACGTGCTGGTGGACAAATCACATACCTTCTATGGTCCTGTGCAAAACACAAGCTCTGGCTCGTTTCTGTCCAGTGAACCAGGCAACCCAATTTAGGATTCAGGGCTGGTGCGCTCCCATGGCATGTGCATCGGCACATGCAAGTGCCCCACCTTGAGAAAGATTTCACCAAAAGCGGGTCACAAAAGTTGAAAATAACTTAATAATCAAGTTCTCCTCAGGGTCTCTTTCCCAGCAGGTCCAGCCCATTACCACCAGCCCAGCAGTCACCCGATAAGTTTTGAGGTACAGTGTAGATTTGAACCCATGTCTCCCCCATTTAAGTTGGACCATAAGGAAGGCTGAGCGCCAGAGAATTGAGGCCTTTGAATTGTGGTGCTGGCAGAGACTCCTGCGAGTCCCTTGGACCACAAGGCGATCCAACCGGTCAGTCCTAGAGGAGATCAACCCTGACTGCTCTTTGGAAGGCCAGATCCTGAAGATGAAACTCAAATACTTTGGCCACTAATGAGAAGGAAGGACTCCCTGGAGAAGAGCCTGATGCTGGGAACAATGGATGGCAAAAGAAGAAGGGAACAGCAGAGAATGAGGTGGCTGGATGGAGTCACTGAGGCAGTTGGTATGAGCTTGAGTGGACTCCGGGGGATGGTGGAGGACAGGAAGGCCTGGAGGAGTGTTGTCCGTGGGGCAAGATGGGTCGGGCACGACTTTGCGACTAAACAACAACAACTCTGCCATTCAAATGCAACATGCTCCCTACTTCAGCAGCCTTCCCCAAGCTGTTGCCCTCCAGCTGCGCTAGATTATGATCCAGATCATCCCCAGACAGGGTGGCCAATGGCTGTCGTCGTCCCACGGAGCTGGAGGTCACCAGCATGGGGAAGGCTGAATTTCAGCACATGGCTCAGCCAGATTTGGTTCAAAAGGAATGAAGAAGGGACCACCTGCGAACGTAGTCAGAGAGACGAGCGGCATATTTCCTGGGACAGCAAAGTTCTTTTTGGTGACGTCTCGTTTGTTTGCACTCAATATAAACAGACAAGACAGAACCCGATGCCATTCTGCATCATGCGAAAAGAGGACACGGGGTTCCGATGTCCACCCCCGCCTCCTCTCCCTTAATGCTCCCATCTGCAGATGAATTTTCCAGCCCTGCTGTATGCATTCGACAGATGTGAGCGGCTGCATTCATCATCTGCTTTCTCACACGCAGCCCTTCGAAAGCTCGCATGCCCGGCCTGCGGCTTTCTGCCCCAGTCGGTGCTTTCCCCATTGCGGGACTGATCCGGATGGCAACATCACAAAAGGAAATCTGCCCTCACTGCCCCAAGTCAGGGCACTCGCCCCAAAGGGCCCCTCTTTCCATCTCTAACTGAGCGTTATGGGACTCTGTGCCCCATTCATCAGGAAGCAGTGAATTAATACTTTGGAGGAAACAGTCCAAAATATGCCCTTCGGCACTCATACGAGTAGACCAGGCCCAGCCGTGACACGCACTGGGGCCAAGGAGCGAGTCTTCCCCATGATTCGAAGGACGAATCTTGCCTGGTTTTACCTCACACTTCGACTGCCATGCAGCTTCGTCATCTCCCTGAGCTCGTGAGTGGGAAACCAAAGAGCACAGAAACCAGCAATCTGCGAGCTGAGATGGCTCCACTGCCTCTTGGCAGAATGTTTTGAAAAGAAAGTTTTCACAATCTGCCAACATCTAGCAACAAGTTTTCATTTGGACCTGAAATGGGCATGTTTGACATCAACATCAGTATAGAAAGAGTTACACGTGTAGCCTTCCTGTGTTATTCCACCTCTCCTTCTGCCTTGCTTCTTACCAAAAATGAAAAAGAAAAACTGGAGGAGAAAAGCCATCTGAGGGCAAAAGCAGAGCAGCTTTTTGCTTTTTAGCAACTTACCCCCTCCATCCTGGAGAACAACCCAACTGTATTCCCAGTCACAAGGTATGGGAGCGAAACCTCGACAGCAAAGGTTGATAGGAAGGAAGTGGATGCATTCAAAACGTGGTGGTGGGAGACTTTCAAGATGGCGTCGGAACGGCACGGACGTGATTAATGGAGCTTCTGTTATCATGCCGGTATTGCTCAGTAGCAAGTCATGGGAGGCTCATCTAGGCCCTGTCGGGGCGAAGACAGATTGCCTGGCATCTTTTCTTCTGGTTGGTGTAGGACGGCAATCCTATATCTACTGGAAGAGACTCGGGCATTTCTCAATCGGGCAACACAGGGGGTTTTTTAGCCCCTTCCAGTTCTCGACATCTGATGGATTAATTAGCTTACTTTAGCCAGATAAGCATCGGACGGCTGGTAAGCTGGTAAGCTCTTATTTCTTATTTCTTTTCGCAATTTTACCCGTGGAAAAGCTGTATTTGTTTGTAATTGCCTTAGAAGAAAGAGAAAGCCCTCTCGAAGTTTTTAAAGCTTTTTTAAGTTTTTAAGTTAAAAAAGTTTTTAACTTAAGTTTTTAAGATATTAAGTTTTTAATATCTGTTGTTAACTGGCATAAAGAAGAAAGGAAAAGCCCCTAATTTGCCAGTGGCCATTTTTTTTGGCCAGCTTCCACTCTTCCTGGGTCTGACAACATTTTTTCATTTTTAAATAGCCTTTTGCCTTTTAAATAGCCTTTTGCTGCCACCCGGTGGCTATCGGAATTATTGCAAGCTACTTTCTTTTTTTTTTTTTTTAAATTTCTCTCTCTCTCTCTCTCTTTTACTTCTCTTTTTAATATCTTGTTCATTTTATATTTTTCTTCGCTCCTGTTTCTTTTGGTATATTGAAATTTCTTTGGTG